GAATCAAATACTCTCATAAAACCATAGAAAGTATCAATACATCGAATGTATCTAAAGAAAGCTCATAAACAGTACATCATAGAGCACTAAACCAACACGATTATGTCATCATCTCAATCACAATCATATCCCACAATCTCATAATCAATGTGCTTTCAACCACAAACATCATTTTCTACAATCACGCGCTGAACATTAATCCGAACACTTTCAAAGTAATATTAACGTCATGCCAGCTACCCCATTCATATACATTTGTATACTTTATTTACTATACATGTATTTCTTTTTATGCAGTCTTTTAATTCTCCTTGTAATCATTTCTATATTTCTTTTTGTTGGGTTTTCCTGGGATCTCAAGAGCGAATCTAATTCCTAAGAGATCAGTTCTAGGGTTTGCGCATCGGATGTAAAACAAAAATTTTAATGAAACCCTAAAACCTATCATGCATGATCTTGTAGAAACGTTAGAACGCTTACCTCAAACGATCCGGGGCCTGTATCAATCGAAGAACGCGTCTGATCACTATAGGCAGGAAGAATACCTTGCCCTCTACACGTATCCACACGGCGGAAAGGATTCCAACGGTTGGAACTTGTCTGCTAGGACTGAAGAACGCTTTCTTCTTTACGCAAGGGTTTCAGGGATCTTTCTCTTAGCTTTTTCACTCTCCAAACCTCTCCCTAGGGTCTGAAAATCGTGCCAAAAGAGTTAGGAGGCGTCCCCTTAAGTTTCTTCCCTTTAAAACCCTAATTAGAGCGAGTTTAGTAAATCTAGACGTCTGGACCGATCGGTCTGGAGCTGACGTCTAGACCGATCGGTCTGGAACAATTTCCGGACCTCACACGTTACCTCTGGACCGACCGGTCTACGTCTAGACTGATCGGTCTGGGTTAGCTGGACCGATCGGTCCAGACCTTTTGGACCGGTCGGTCTGGCCTCCGCTCCACCGGGATTTTCTCATCTCTTTTCGCGCATTCGTCCTTTCCTGTATGTGTGACCCTGTAGGCTCATCCGATATAGCAGTATAACACGAAATCTCTTATTTTGGTTACACAAGTCATAGGCGGTCTCTAGCAAGACACTATGACTACCTATCTCGAATAGAGTTTGTTCGTGATCCTACGAACGTCAGCGATGATTCCGTTTGATGATCCTTTTGTATCACGATATCATATGTCGAATATAAGGCATGGACAAGCCACCTTATCTGATTCGACTGCTTTCTCGTTCACTGAGTTCGACTGTCTGAAATAGACGACGTTCGTCTATAGTGCGGCCACACATTTCTACAGTCTCGCTCACACGAGGGGCCCAGCGATATCTCTCTCTTCTACGAGAGGTACAAATCCCGTCATGACTATCTACAATCCAGCACATGAGTCGTTTCGTACCTGATACATGCCTTTATAGTCCTCCTGTTACGCAGGACGTTTGACGCATTCAAAGCACGAAACTCCTCATGTTGGATTCCGTAGATATCTCAGGTCTTAGGATCCAATCATGCAACCGTCATATGAGATTCAAGTCATGACGCTAGTCCATGTGACAATCTCATGCGGGTCAATCCAATATTCTGTTCTGCAACGAATACCTATGATTGTGATCGTATTCAAATACCTATGATCATCTATATGATCATCAATCACACATCATACTAGTCTTATTATGTCATCATTCCCATAATGACACAAGACTAGGCTTCGGTCCGTTCGTTCCCTCGGTTTCGGTCCGGTTTTTGGTATCGTTTTGATTTTGGTCCAGACCGGTCGGTCTAGCCTCTAGACCGGTCGGTCTGGATTTTGTCTTAATCTCTGGACTTCGCGGTTTCTTCTGTGACCCTAGACCGGACGGTCTGACCCCAGACCGGTCGGTCTAGGCCTCGGTTTCACCAAAAACACTCAAACAAGTACGTTTTGCTATGGATAATACACTAAAACTCATATAATTTCATGTAGAACACAAATCAAGCATCAATTTTGTACGAATCACTCAAAAACCCAAAACACCATGTGAGAAGACTTCTGAATTAAACTCGAATTCATTCACCTCACCTCGGGTTATGCTCGTGTGTTGGCTGATGAATGGAAAACTTGGTGATGCTCCTCGTGGTATGTAGAAGCAAATAAAAGCGTGAAATTCTTCGGATTTGAGAGAGAGGTGTTTAAGTTTGAGGTTGCAGAGGATATGGGGAAGTCATGGGTTAACTCGAATTTGGACAGATATGGGTGGAAAATCTGGAACCAGGGAGGAAAAATCGCGTCCTGCGATCCCTAGGTCGTGAAAATCGGGCTTTGGTCGGAGAATGGTGCATATCGGTCGTTTTCAGGTCGGATCTGGACAAGAAATCGCGACTTTTTCGTCTGTCCAGCGCCTGAACCGGTCGACCTACGTCTGGACCGGTCGGTTTAGGTCACTATGTTTGTCTGATCTTGCCGACAGTCTGGATTGATCGGTTTAGGCTCCAGACCGTTGGGTCCAGACATTTTTTTTTTAAATATTGGGTAGTTACAGTCTCCAAACCCTAACTCTTGTTCTTTGTTCATTTAATCAGATTCTAGGGTTTTGTGTCACCACCGATTAGGTTGATTAAATACATGCTATAAGCACATGAACGTACACACACTTGCACAGTTGATTAACGAATTCAGATTCCCAGTGTGGAAGATCCTACATTTCGGCAACGACTTTGCCCTAGGCTAATTCAGTATATGTCACGTTCTTTACACAGGGTACAAGGGAGTTTCATACCGAATATTCTCATAAACACAAACACGCATACAAAAGGATTATATCAAAGAATACTTAGCTTCCAGAACTCTGAATTATTGACTTTTTCAACCAGAACAAGCTTAAACACTGCATATTCCAACAAGAAAACGAATAATCATTTTGTGGTTTGCTGGAGTTCAAGTACATCGACTTCAAGAACAAAAGATAGAGCAGAACAAGAAGTAAAGTGAGCAAACCCAGATTGGGACAATTTCTGGGGACATGAATCTTTTTTTTGGTGAAATGTGAATCTATTTACGTAAAAAAGAAGTTACATATCGTTTTTTTGTTACCGAGAAAACAAAAGAAACTTACACTTCCATGACCTAAGCTAACAAAAAGGAGGGATGATTTTCCTATGGTAATCATGGTGGCCTTGTTAGATAGAACCAAGCTTGTAAGAGGGTGTTTTCCTACTGATTGGAGCCTGATTGATGGGCCAGTATGATGTTCCTGATGAGTCTGTCAAGCCTATATTTCATTACCTCAGCGGATTGGTGCCGGGAGCGAAAGATTCTGTCATTTCTTTCACGCCAAAGAAGGTAGACCGTAGCTTGAAGAGCAATTAGTGTCAAGGTTCGCTTGTGGCGATTGGGGTCATTCCGGAGGGCTTCGATCCAATCTGGATAGAGCTGGAGCTGGTGCGGTGGTTCTGACCCAAAGCGTGATGCGTAATATTGCCAGACGGATGAGCTGAACGGACATTCAAGGAATAAGTGTTGGTGGGACTCTTCCCCTGTCGAGCATAGGCAGCAAAACGTCTCCGCCTGAACTCCCCATCGATGTAGTCGGTCTCGGGTTGGCAGTCTACCCAAGAAAACTTGCCATAGGATGAGTGCATGCTTCGGCGTTACGTGTCTGAACCATACAACCTTCCACCAATTTACAGTAGCTGCAGGCTGCCTAATTTGTCGCCAGGTTGTTGCCGTGTTAAAACAGTCCTTGAATGCATTGTCGTCGTGTTTCCAGAGGGGCTGATCGTCTACACCAGTCGCTGATGGTGCTTCAATCTTGAGTGAGCAAACAACAATATAGAAATAGATCGTCGATATGTACATGAGAAGTATGCAACAGTTTACAAAATCTTTGACATAAATGAAGAAGATAACAACAACAATGCAATGCAATTCAGATACAGAGCCGATCCAATGGATTGAAAATGGAGAAGAAGAAGAAATAAATAAAATCCAGTGTGGGGTGGTCGAATAATAAGATGAGAAGGGACAAAGTCTCCTTACCCGAGTTCGAATCCACCTATACACAAACTTTACCAAAAAAATAAATAAATAAATAAATAAAACTCGTATGTTTTTTGGGGTGACCCGTGAAACGACGATCGAGTGGGCAAATTACTCAAATGCCCTTATGGTGTAGAAAGATCTGTGACATAACATTTAATAAATGTATAAAAAGGACACATTTATCCATTAAACCAACAGATCATGTTATCAAAGACGACGACGCTAAACAAATCAATTTATCTATTTTGATCTAATTATTTATTTATAATTGATAACATATTTACTCACAATTTAATCTAGTAAAAAGCATATTAATTTTTACCGATTATATATTCTTTAATTTTTTTTACTATTTATTTAAACTATTTTAAAATGTAGCCAACTTTCTATTATATTATAGTATCTAATATATGAAACTAATTAGTAACGGTTATTATAATGACTATTTTAAAAATGAATATATATATATATATACATACATATATTATACATTTATATACGTATCTATGTAAATATATATAATTTATTTTATTTTATTTTATTTTTATATATTTTTCATTATTTATTATTTTGATTTTTTAAAGAGAAAATCTAAAACATATTAGTGAACTTTGAAATAAATGTGAGATATTAAATTTTTCAGACTTTTAAATAAAACGTTAAATTAAATTTTTTGACAAATTTAATACTCTCTTTTGAATTTTTACCAAATATCCGATTGAAAATTTTCAGATTTAATATAATAAATATAATTTAATACTCTACTTATGAATTTTTGCCAACGTTCAATTAGAATTTTTACAATTTGAATAAATTAGATTTAATATAAAACTTTACGGAAATTCGTTTCAATATGAAAATTTGTTACAAATTGATAATTAATTACTCTAAATTGACGAAATTCAGTATCAATTATAAAAGTTTCGACAAAGTTGGACATTTCCTACAAAATTCTCCAAAAAAAAAAAAAAAAAGCAGAACACGAGTAAACATGTTTTCAGAAGGCACACCCTTCTTCATAAAACTTTTTATTTGGTGGGCTCTTTTTAAACATTCAACCTAAAAAAACCCCATATGAAAAAAAAAACACAACAAAACAAAAAACCCAAAACGAAAGTTTGTCTAAAACCCTAGAAATATATCCAGGATTATATAAAACACACCCATGTTGATGATGATGATCCCATACTCAGTACTTGTAGTCCTTCACGTGGAGGCTCTCATCAGCTCCTTCCCCACGCTTGGCATCACCCCTGTAGGTTCCGAGTGTGGCTTCCGAGTTAGCCTTACACCTCACAATGAACGCTTCTTGCGCCTTTGTCACGTTCTCGTCTTTCCCGGCCCAAGCCTTGAGCGTGCTCTGCTGAAGGGCACGGCCGAATGAGAAGGACAGTGACCATGGCTTCTTACCCTTCAGCTGGTTCATGGCATTCAGGTTGAGTGTCGCCTCTTCCTCACTCTGTCCACCAGATAAAAACACAATGGCTGGGACAGCTGCTGGGACGGTTCTTTGTAGGGCACGGACCGTGTGCTCAGCTGCGACCTCGGGTGCCACCTTGGCACTCTCAGACCCAGGTGTGACCATGTTGGGTTTCAAAAGGGTCCCTTCGAGCAAGACATGGTGGTCGTTCAGGGCTTTGTAGCAGGCCGCGAGGACGCGTTCGGTGACGGCAGCGCATTTGTGGATGTCGTGGGGTCCATCGACGAGGATCTCGGGCTCGACAATGGGGACGAGACCGTTCTCTTGGCAGATGGCGGCGTATCTTGCTAACCCGTACGCGTTCTCGTGGATGGCTAGCTCGGATGGCTCGTTCGGGCCAATCTTGAGGACAGCACGCCACTTGGCGAAACGGGCACCAGCCTCATAGTACTTCTTGCATCGGTCACCGAGGCCATCGAGACCCTGGGTGGTGGTCTCACCGTTTGTGCCGGGGAGCTCGACGGTACCCTTGTCGACCTTGATACCTGGGAGGACTCCACCCTCTTTCAAAATGTCAACAAAAGGCTTGCCTGCAATATTCAATCCACAGAGCCAATTAGCAATCACTAACCAACAACTGAATCAATACAACAAGATGAATTTGGTGTATGCATACATACCAGTGGAAGCCTTCTGGTAGAGGGTTTCCTCGAAGAGGATGACACCGCTGAGGTATTGGAGAGCACCAGGAGTGGTGAAGAGGAGTTCACGGAGAGCTCGTCGATTGTCCTCAACGTTCTCGACGTTGATGCTAGCGAGACGCTTGCCGATTGTACCAGTTGACTCATCAGCGGCAAGGATACCCTTTCCAGGGGTACCGATGTAGGCAGCGTTAGCAATCAGCTCATCTGCGAGATTCAAAACCAAAAACGTATGAACAATACGAGCAACCCGGAAAGAGGACCGAAAGCAAAAAACTCAGGCTCCAGACCTGAAAAGACCAGTTAATTAGATTCGTATAACAAAGTTTTGTGTATCCGATTAGTGTATACACGGACGCTAACCCTTAAACCCTTAGAACCTAAACCCTGAACCCTCAACCAAATCCGAAACAACCAAACATAAGAGTCAGACTCATAAGATGGAATTTCATCTCAGCAGCGAAATTCAAACAGATCTAAAAAACACCGAGACTATCACAAAAGATAGCGGACAGAGTAAAAGAGATTCCCAAAGAATCACTGATCAAATCCACCAAAAAAGCAGATCTACAGGTACCAAATCCAGATCCGAACCAAAATACATAGAAACACGATAACAAAGATCAGATCTAATGATCATGTAGCCAAGTACGAACCGGATACACAAACAGACCGCAGAACTCAATTGAAGCTACAGAAATGGAGACTCCGAGAAACAGATCAGAGAGATGTAGGGACAGAGAGAGAGAGATCTTACCGGCGTACTTGCTTGTGAAGGCCGACATGGTTCAAGGATCGAGAGCGATGAACAGAAAGACTATCAAAGACGAAAGATGAAAAGCAGGAGAAGTAGCCGATGAAAAACTGACTGACTGGAGGAGCCATTTATAGATGTCGAATAGTAGTTTGGTGAAAGGTTAGAGACGCAAATCAACGGTGAGATCTGTGGCCTGCTCCCCCAATAAACGGCTTCTGAGCCGTTGGATCTCACATGGTTTCCATGGCGGTTTTCGGCACGGTCAATTACGGGTCTGCCCCTGGTCATGGGGTTGTTCACCCAGGGGTAGTTTGGTAAGTTCGTTGCTTCCGGAAGAGTCGAGAGTCGTACCGTCACAAAGCTTCAGGGTAGAAGTGTCCATTCGCATATGCTCAGTGTTACATATGTGAAAGCTCATGTATTATATTGAAGTGTTAATAATTGTTCGACCGCATAATATTTCGCAGTTAGATCGGAACAGATTTATATTATCTTATGCCAACGGTATGATAACGTTTTTTAATTATCATATACCGTCAGTTGTTTTTTAAAATATAACACTATAGTCCATATCGTTCATATTCATTAAGCATAAACATATATGCAAGGAATATCAGAAATTTGAAAGATTTTAATTCTTGAATATAGTAGAAAACATTTTAAATAAAGATTTATCTTTAAACTTGACTGTCGTAATTTTTTCTCACAGTATGTATTCTATACATATATATATATATATGTATTGTTAAATGATGAATTTAAAACTCAAGAAACTGTAAATAAAATGTGAATTTTTATCTTAAAAGGTGGGTTTAGGCAAAACAGCGACGGGGTTTAGGGATGACAAAACAACTGCGTCTCTTCAAAACCATGAATCTCTGTTTTTTAAAGTCTGTGGTTTTTTAGGTATCATTTTCATGATTAATTTTTTTTTTTTGGGATGTTTGGGCTTTAAAATAATGAGATTTCGCTTAGAGACAATATTATTGGTTTATTATATTAGCACTGAAAACACGTAGATATGCTATGGAGTTTTTATATATTGATAAAAGGACTGAATTATATGTTACTTTGTTATAAATTATGAAGTTTTATTTTAATTGTTATCGTATTTCGTAGCGAAATTAAAAGAAAAAAAAGTACACCGGGATGTGACAAGAATTGTTAACGATTATAAATTAAAATATATGTAAGAAATTAGAATTTTAACGATTTTGGATATTACAAGAGAAAACATTTATCGTTTAACCTGGTTTTCGTAAAATTCACCATGCGCATTTTATATTTTGCTATTGTTGCCGAATGGTGGGTTTAAATTTCAAAAAACTGTAATTAAAATGTGGATTTTATGTTAAAATGTGTTAGGCAAAACCGAAACAATTGTGACTCTTCAAAACCATGAATCGTTATTTTTAAAGTCCTTTCATGATTTTTCTTTTCCTTTTTGGGATTTCGGCTTTTAAAATAATTTCACTTAGACACAGTATTACTAATTTATTATATAAAGTATATGATGAATCCAATCTTACGTGTAAAACAGGTTAATTCAGACGAATCTGGTTAGTCAGCCCAACTCGATCTAAATGTCTTAATTCGTGAACCGACTCAAAACCGAATAAAAAATTAAAAATATTTAAAAATAATATTTTTTTATAAAAATTTGACTCGTAAACCAGTTCACGGGTCGACCGAGCTAACCCGTTAAAGTTTGGCTCGTGAGGGACTGATCGTCATGTCCCTTTTTTTGGGTTCATATTTTTTCAACCCATCTCAATAAAAATCTAAGGATGTCAAAAAAAATTTCGAGGTCCAGTACCCAATCTGAGTCCACCCGATAAATTTAAAGGTTCATATGCTTAAAATTTGAAGCTCGAATGTTAAATGAACAGATCGATCCGATTCAAAAATTATGGGTCAGAGTACAGACTCGGATCGATCCGATCTGATCCCGATTAATTTATATATATACATATATATGCACACTCATTCACACCTAATATCATATATATATATATATATAGATTATCAATTATGTGTTTCTAATTATATTTAAAATCTTTTATAAAATATACCAAATTTTATATAATATACAGAATTTTTAAAAAAAAAATCTTAACAAATTGTTTACTATTGAATAAATTAAGATGTGATATTTTTATTGATAATCATGTATATAAATATAAATAAATACAGTTACTCTCACGAGGATAATAGTATCTTACTCTATTTTCCTTCTAAAAGTTTATATATTGTTTCAATATTATTTTTAATTATTATTGACCAAATTAAATATCATCAAAAATTATATTTATTAATATTCTTATCATCATTTCAATTATTCATTTAATCACAACCAGTTCAACAATCATTCTCTATCTTTAATATTATATCAATTTCAATTTATAGAATTAATTATTCCTTTAAATGTTTGTTTATATAATTTTGGTAAAGAGATGATATACTAATAATTTGTTTGAGTTAGATTTATAAATTTAAATGTTTGTTGTATATCATACACTAATATCATATTATATTGATGGAATTCATTGTTTGAATATGCACTTTTGTTTTTGTATTTAGCTATATATATAACCTTATGTGTATCATCTATATATCATGTGTTGGGATTACATGTATAAATATATATATGATTTTAAATCCATCTCCAAATCAACTCACACAATAATACTCATTTAGGTTGACAGATATAATAAAAAAGAACATATCCTAATTAAAAAAGTACGGATGTCTCAATCCCATAATATTAAATTTCAAGTATTTTGTTTATAAATATAATTAAATCAATTATAGAATATTGATACCGCTTCGTAGATGATATATAGGTTCAATAGCTATGATATATTGTGGTTTATGCGCGGTATCATTGTTTTCCTTCGTTTGCTTCTGGTAAAAAAAAATTAGAGATGAGATAATAAATTAAATTATTGATTAAATATTATACGTATTATTTGTATTAATAATGATATGATTTATTTATCGCAGTCGAAATTCTGATGACGTTGAGGTTTTCATCTATGTAAATCTTTGTGGACATTGATGTATTAAGTGATAGAACACCTGAGACATAGAATGTATTAGTAAGCTCAATATAAAAATGATATTGGTTGTTAAATATCAGCCTGTAAAATATTTATGATTGTGTTTGTGTTAAATAATTATCGTTGATAATCTTTGGGTTTATACCAATAATAACAATAATATTTTTTTGAATATTTAATCTGTGCATTTCTGACCGGAGTTGGGCGGCGATGTCATCCTATATGCAAATCTTGACAATGTTGTTGTTGTGCTGCATATTAAAATTATATATTAGTATTTATCAAACTAATTAGAGTTATTTTGTAAGACAACATATCTTGCAATGCAAATAAATGTTGAAAACCTACTCTTTCAATAATAATCGGAGGATAATTTTCTGAGTTGACGATGTCATCCGTAAGTTTGGTCATTGAACTGCAACCAAAACTCCAATAATATTTGCAACATGAGAGAATATCTTGATTATAGAACCCATTGAAATTTTTCCCTAGTTGTGTTCTTTGTATGATAACACAGTACCTGACAAATTATGCTTTTTGTCTGCCAATGCTACCAAATTATCGTATAAACGTATCCGAGATTTCTTTTTGACAATATCACATGAGGGGTGAGCAACCCTTTTAACAATAGTATATTCCGTTAAATAAATACGGAATTTTTGTTCCGTTAACTTGTATCTGTTGTTATTGTGTAGAAGTTTGAAATGGCTGTTGAATATATCTTACTCGTTTATGATATGTTTAAATTGGTCTGCATGATATTGGAATATTTTTCCTTCAACAACATGCTCCTGTAATGTTGTTACTGGAGAAGATCAGATTACTAATAATTATAATGTAATAAAAAAAGTTAAGGAAGATGTACATTTTTATCAATTAATAAGAAGTCGATGCCACGGTATTCATTTCCATTAAAAGGATTCCTTTCAATCCCATGTCCTTAAAAATCTGACCATGATACATCCATAACTGTGATGTTTTCTCGTGTGTTCTAAACTTGCATGGGTTGATATCACTGGTTGGGGTTGATTTGTCAATTCCTATATTGGGATTAATCTGATCAATAATGACATTATGTATAATGTAGTATATATAATCATTACTTTAATGAGAATAAAACATCGGTTTGAATGGAGTACAAAAATACTTACACAAATTGTGATGGCATGATCCTGTTTTAAATATAAAGATTATTATTATTAGGATAATGACAATATGTTAAACTTTAAATGACGTAGGAACATTACCAAAAGTTATATGTATCAATGTCAATGTTGTATGAACTAAGATACTCAGTTGCTTGTCCCGGTATTTTGGCGAGAATGAATGCATTTACTTCATTCACAGTTTCGTTTTTTGGTGTTAAGATTGTCCTCTCTGTAAGATAGCATGTACTATATGTGTGAAATATATATGTACCTTACCATTTGTAGGTCAACAACAATTCTTTGCTTGGATAACAAATGTTCGTTGTGAGTATCTCTTGTGCTTTGGACTTGACCAATAACATCTTCTTTAAGAGGACAAAAGTAAACCAAAAAAATTAGTATCTTAGAAGACATAATTTTAGAAATTAAGAAAAGTGAAAAATAATCAACTAAGTTGATATGTCTATTCACCTGGTAATTCTTCATTTTTGTTAGCCAACGCAATAAGTTCATCGTAATCTCGAAACCTAAAAAACTCTTTAGGTATCTCAATAGCGGTTACTCCAACTTCTGATATATTAATTAGTTCGTTCCGTGAAACGAATAGATAGTTTGAAATCAGTTAGCTTAAATTGATCGTTAGTCCTAACAACGTCAAAATCAGTTAGAAGATAAATAGCTCATTCATGTAACACATCTTTGTAACCACTCAAAAGATGTCGACCAATAGATCCTTGTGTAACAGTGGACTATAAGGAAAAAAAGAAGGAGATAAGTAATTTTTTTTTTGGAATAAGCATCGACATTTGAGATCATAAGAAACCAATAAATTTTGGAAACGATACAATGATGTTCGGTATACCTTTTCGTCGATGAGTAGAAAATCAACACTCATGAGTTCACCACCTTTTTTGACATTTCGAGCTTCCCAAAACCGTAATAATCGGCCAACTATTCGATGCATTGGTCGACCGATCTGTAAGTCAGCAAACGTGACGCATGAGGGAAGAGCGAGACATTTGTCATTTAATTATATTTATTTTGGGTTTAGCTTTTAAAGTTCTTAAAATTTATAGTCATTCTTATTCTTATTCTTATAATAAATAAATATAACCAGAATTAACGCACCAATATATGTCATATTTTATCATTATATCCAATTTAAATTTACAAATATATATGATTTTATATAATAAATAGAGTGAGTATATATATTCAAAACGATTACCAAATTATATATTTACAAATGTACATAACCTTATTATACAAAAATGTAATTAAATACAATAGGATAAGGTTGTTTCACTGTTTTTATTATTTTATATTGAAATTAAATTTACAAATGTAAATAACTCTAATACGAAAAATATATTTTTTTTTAATTTTAACATCATTTTGATATAATAAAGATTAACATTTTCCCTTTTAAAAGAGCGTCAAATCCAAATGGAGCGATAAGCGAATTAAAAACAAAGAAAGAGGTGGTGTGTTTCAGACTTTCTTTCAAATATGAGTACTTGCGTACTTAAACAGAGAAAAATTTATAATAGAGCATACTTTCTTTCAAATTGCAATGGGAAACATTAATGGGATTAAAAGGACTGCATCTCCAATAAAGATATAATTAAATTAGGACAAATCATTTGTAACTTGCGCTCCAAATAATTGAATAAGGAGACATGAATCGCCTGCTAATTGGTGTTAACCACTTCGCCACTTTGTATTTATAAAACTAATTAGGCATTATTTCTAGAAACATTATTACCATTAATTGTATGGTAACCTCCACTTATTCTCGGTTTTAATACACATATTAGTGGTGTCGGAAGCTTCTAAAACATGTGTTTGTTTCGTAAACCGTAATGACAAATTGAAATCAGTTAACCTAAATTATTGATTAGCCCTGGCCACCTCAAAATCGATAATTATATAAATGTGGCCTTCATCGAGATCATCTTTGTAGCAATCAATATTGGTCCATATATTGTTCTGAAAGAAACGTTTTCTTTAACATTTTGAATTGAAAATAATGATCATGAAAGATACTTATGATGGCATTTGCTTGATTTAGAGCCCGACGCTGGTACTGTGCATCGTTATATGGTTAATTATGGGAGCAAGTCCGATGACGACGATGATAAACAATGCTTTGCGCGAGAACTCGTCCCCTATTTTCCTTACTTTCTCGGCAACCAAACACTTCACATCCCTTCTCTGCCTCCACTGCCAGCGCTCCATCCTTCCCGTCGCCGCCATGTCTTCTTCTTCGCAATTATATATTTTTTTACTTATTTCATCATTTTAAAAAAATTTCGTTTAATTTTACAATAATTTTTTCATACTTATTTAGTGATTTATCTAGATCATTAAAGAAAATAAAATTGTTAATTAATCTCATTCTATATATGCACAATATATATTCCATTATGTTATAAATCAAAAATAAAAATTAATAAATAATAAAATAAATAAATAATGAAATAGAAAAATAAATTAAAACTTAACAAAAACATATATATATATATATATATAAACATACATAATTTATCTTAATGTAATGTTTCTTTCTTTATTGTACATGTACAATCATATATATACATAATATATGGTACATTTATTAGGTAAACGAAAAATGCAGATTTTTTATATTTCAAATCCTTATGGACAGATAATGCGAGAAGGGAATATCTATCCACGCGGCGTCTCCCAATCCGCTTGCATATTGTGATGGGTCCATCCCCGATTTCCAAGTCCGATGTGGCACCATCAAGTCTTTCTCTCTCCGAAGCAACAACAATGGTGTTCGCTTCTTCTTCTCTTAGAATATCGTCCTTCTTCTTTGAATTCGAAACTCAAATCTATTCCTCAAACCAAAGATTGAGAATTCTCAGTGACTGATCCATACAAGTGTGATTCACGTAGTAGGAGAAGATTGAGAATTATCGTCGTCAATTCAATCTTGGTGCCGAACGTGGAGCTCGTACAGGACCCGATAATTTCGTTTTTTCCATCCTCTCTAAGGTATGTATGTTGCCAAACGATCTTGTTACCAAATATATTTGAATTTTTTTTCTCTAATAGAAGATCATATAGTAAACACCAATTTTGATTTAATGTACCACAATATTTTATTGAATATTATTAAATTTTGTTGATTTCCTTTTCAAAGTTATATATGATTTCTGTCTTTATGGATTTATTCATTTGGAAAACTATATTGAATCTTGACTTAATCTAGTGGAGTATTTTAAGAAATTAAATGTTAATAATTTTTCTACGGAACATTTTAATGAAATGGAATTTATGAATTTTTTATAATACAAATATAAACCGTTTAATTTTATTTTTGATTCTATCACAAAGTTATACATAATATAATATACAAAGTAAAATTTTCATGTTTTTTTGCTATATTGATATCAACAAACTTTACAATAAAAATAATAAATAAAAAAAGAATAACCAAATCCTCACCTAATAATAATAACAATAAGAAGTGAAACAAACATAAAAACGTGTGTTGGTCATATACACAAACATAAAACAAAAAAGGAATTGTAACGAATATTATACTGGAAAGAAGTACACAAAAATTCTCTTATTTTTCTCACAACAACAATATATGAGTATACATTTTATTACATTGACAGCTTCAACTCCAATATGGTTGCCCTCCGGAAAATTGAGAAGAATATTATGAGAAGATGCAACCTAATCCAAGTGGTGTAATTGCATCATTCGGAATACAGTATTCACATTGAGCAAAATAGCAGAATATGTATTTTTGAAAGTGGTGGACTGCAAAAAGAAAGAACAGAAAATGAGTAAAATAAAAAGTAGAAGTACCAACCACATTTTGTTTTATGACTAAACAATTAACTTTTATAGTCATCTCTAGTGACTTTAAATTTACCTCCACTCTTTTTTCGTTACGTTACTTGGAGATACATTTACTTCCACCCCTTTTAATAAGCCAATAGTAAGTGGTAACGAATAGCCACCGTTTGTTTACAAAATTATCGAAAATCGTGACCATCATTTTTGGTTTTTAATTTTTATATTTGTACTCCAATAATAATTGTGGTCATAAATAGACTAAAGAATACTTCCACGGAATTTGTTTTTATATTTTAGTTTTTTACTCGCACAATACATTTACTCCAAGATTATTTACTACATTAGTATTTGCGGTCGTAAATAGAGTTATGAATATTTCAACCGTTTTTGTTTTTATTAGTGGGCTCTTGATTATTTTCTTATTGTAAATGATCATTAATATTATTTTCTTATTTGTGGGCGTAAATGAATTTTTGTTGTAATCTTTTTTATAAATTTTCTTATTGTAAATTGTGTAAATAGATAAAGAATATAGAAAATTTATCACAATTTATGTGATAAGGAGGAAATATATGTTTTATTGGTTTCTATTATAATGTAAAATCATATATATTAGTTTCTATTATAAAACTTTTGTTATGGTAATGTTTGAGTGCTTTTATTATTTATTTTAGTGTAAATTGCAATCACAAATTATATATAGGCAAAGGAATAATTATCGTATATTAGTTTCTATTTTAATACTTTATTATTATAATGTTTGTGTGTTTTTATTATTTAATTTAGTATAAATTTTAATCACAAATTATATATTGCAATGGATATTTTAATTGTACAATAGAAATTACAACAATGGTGAGGTGAAAGATGATGTTTATTTAGCAAGTAAATGGATATATCAAATGACCAATAAAATTTGAGAAACTTGATGATGTGGATGTTTAGGTGGCTTCACCACAATACTTTAAACATCTTTATTTATATATATAGATTCCAATTTTATAGAATTAATTATTCCTTTAATTATATCAATTTTCACGATTTTCTTTCTATCTTTTATATCATTTCAAATTCAATGTATAAAATTTATAGTTTTAAAGATGAATCAAATGACCAATAAAATTTGAAAAACTTGATGATGTGGATGCTTAGGTGGCTTCACCACAATACTTTAAACATCTTTATTTATATATATAGATTTCAATTTTATAGAATTAATTATTCCTTTAATTATATCAATTTTCACGATTTTTCTTCTATCTTTTATATCATTTCAAATTCAATGTATAAAATTTATAGTTTTAAAGATGAATATATAATCTCTCTATAAATAACCACATATCAAACTTATTTATCTTTCACACACAAAACTCTATCATGGTTTTTCCATCCTCTTTTTAAAAAAAAATGGCAAGAATGATTCCATTCAATAAATTAGGATGCAGTGGTTTAGAAGATGTCTTTATAACTTAGACAAATATCTATGCTACATTGATATAAGTTTTTCCTTTTAACTTCTCTTGCATTAACATCTGTTTTATTTTGTTATAATTTGAGTTTACAGTCTGTATGTGTATATTGATGTTCGTAGATTAAATTTTTTTTTTATTATTGTCTTTGTCTAGAGTACATTCTTGACATTAGTTATTCCACCAACAATATTTCATGAGGTTCTATGGCGATCTGACTAACTGTCTTATGTATTATAAAGGTATAAGATAAAGACTTTTTGAAAATATAATTTTTTATTTTACGATTAAAAAATTTGAATTATTTGTTAGACATTCTCTTACAATCTTGAAGAAATCTTGTAATTTAATTTTTCTTTTGTACCATATTTTTTAACATGCAAGTTTTCATGATACGAAGTAATTGTATCAACAACACATAAATTAGAGAAAATGATATTTTCTACACGAATTTATCAAAATGTGATTTTTCCTACACATATTTTTAATTTGAAAATCATCTATACGTGAATTTAAATTTGCCAAATCTCTACATGAATTTGTAAAATCAGTAGAAATTTTTGCCACACCTTTAAATTCAATCGATTTCCGTTAATGAATCTGTTGATGTTTCACGCCACGTGATATATTTTTCACGTGTGTTGCCGTATAATTTGCCATGTCACATTTGAAAATCAGAACATAAAATAAAGTGAATAAATTAATTTGTGGATTTAGGATTTTTCATTCGCCCTGTCCTCCCTCTTTCGAACAACCTCCGACGCAGAGCCGTGTCGTCGGCTTCAACATCGATGGTGATGGTGGCGATCTCTCCTCTCTCATCCTGTTCGAATCTCATCCTCTCTGCTCTTGTTCGTCTCCCACATCGTTCGAAGCTCCTCCTCTCTCCTCCTATTTGAAGTCCGCCGAAGTTCTATCCAATAACCGCGAGGTGAGATAAATTTTGTACTCTTTGTCAGTCTGTCGAAGGTTCTAGTCGATTAAGACTCTATCTCTACCTTGTGTTGTGTTTGTGGTGGGTACCTGTGTTATGTGGGTTATTTTCACTGAATATGGAATGATGTTGTTTAAAGTTGTTTGTTGTGCTCAAAAAATTGTGTGGTTGATGTTTGGAATAGGTGAGGTTGTTTGTCGAGGTTGTGTTGTTAGCTTGTGGTTGATCTTATACTTTCGTACTAGATGAGTTATATATCGGATGGAGGTTCAAAATCGAGTCGGTGGTCAAATTAGAAGAAAGCCAAAGAAATTTTGAAGCAAGGTTTTCCACAAGAATGTGAATATGGAGCTCCTATAGTGAGGTTGACATCTAAACTGCAAGATAATCCTAGTCGAGTTTTTGTCTGATGTGCAAAACAAGAGGTTTCGTTGTATGTACAACTTTTATATTGTGATTTGGGTCATTTTTTATGTAGTCGTGTATGTTGATGTACTCGTATATATTGTTTCAGAAAAACCAAGCACATGTATTCAAATGGGCGGATAAAGCTATGTGCGAAGAAAATCGAGAAATTAAATATCCAAAATCAATCAATCCTTGGTGTGGTGGATAAATTGAAGGCCGAAGTGGAGCAAGTGAAAGAAATACGAGAAAAAATGGTGGTTGTGATGGTCTTGTTAGTTATGTTATGTTTGTATTATTATTTCATATCTGGTTAGTGAATTTGGATGTAGTGTTTGTAGTCTTAATTTTCCTGTGAAAACTATAGGATTGATATCTTATACAAGATAAAATGGGAAGATGTTGATGTTTTAGCACTCTGTAAGGAGTGATGAAATGTTTGTGATTAAGAAAGAAGAATTTGTTGAGTTTGTGATTAAGAAAGCAGAAACTTATGAAGAAAATACATGTTCCTGAATCCAGAAAGAAACCAACACTAATCGAGCCAACATTACATGTTCCTGAATTCGAAATACAGAATTTGTCCCAAAAAAACATCTGAAATACAGAATTTATCTAAAAAATAAAGGTGCACTACAATTGAGCTAACAAAATATCTTCATAAATCCAAAACACATAACTTGTCCCAAAAAGAAAGTAGCACTAAAATTCAGAAAATTATATGTTCTGGCATTACATGTCCCAAAAACAAAAAAACAACCATAACAAGCATAAGACATACGATCAGGTCCCAGGAGATTGATTTTCTGATGTTCTGCAAGGATATGAAAAGGATTTCATGTTAGTATAAAAGTAACCGAGAAACTTAATAAGACTAATAAACCGACCAAATTTATCTGACATTGTATTGTTTGATCAATTCACTTGTCTAGGTATAGTAAATGGATGTTGTCGAGATTTAGAAGTCCCGATATTGGATGAAGACATCCTAAGGAGAACACGACGTCTAGTGTTCAAAGGAATCCTGGATTGTGCTGTCTGACTGGATTGAGTCAGAATAGAAATCCCTAATATAGGAAAAATATGTTACTTATATGCAACAGATCATGTAATTGACATATTAAAAACTTGCATCAAATTATTCGTAAACAAACCTGCAATAGAGTTAACTGTTTGTCTCTGCTTTCGTGGTGCATTGGTCTTTGATTGTGCATTGGTACTCGAAGGTTCATTGATACTCGATGCTTCTTGCTGAAAATTCATTTTAAATCACACACGAATTTAAGCAAAATAAGCAAGAAATGTAAAACTTACTCCTGATGTCTTTGGTTGATCGGTACATTCACATTTGCATGTTCTTGCATTGTGACCCGGTTGTTTGAAAATGCTACAATGGAATAATCTGTTGTGTCGGGTAATATATCCCGGTTTTGAAGGTGATTCATGGGGATCTTTTATTCTATTGCTTTGTTGTCCGATCTGATATTCTTTGTTTTTTCGAAACAAGAATTGGAGCTTTTCCTGATCTTTGCCACAATATTGTCAGGTTATGTTCATCACCCAAAACCAAATCCAATCTCAATTTCCGGACGAACCAAGCCCACGTTTTGTTATTTTCCACACAAATTACAACTCATACAATAGGGTACATGTCGTTACTTGCATCCTTAGCAATAGCGGTCAATAATTCTTCTTTCATATCCCATTTCAAGAAACAACCTTCTAAACCAATCACAGGTCGACAATTATTTTTCCATGATTCCCTTAGTACTTCAAAACTAACGTAGAAATGGTTAAATACTTGAATGCCCAAAGTCTATACTTCTTCTTCCATTCCAATTTCGGTTGTCGTATTCGGGATTGACCTCTTCAGTTCTAACTCACAGTCCCATAGTTTAGCAATTTGAACTTGTGGATCTTCCATGATCATTTTCAAAGCAAGGCGTCTAGCCTTAAAACATTTACTGATTGGGACGGTTAAATCATATTCTTATTGTATTTCAATCTGCAACTTCTCAGCTTCCCAATCTGGCTCTCTTCTAAACCTTTTCACATATCTTTTTGTAATTTATGTCATTGTAAACATGTTAACATATGTCTTAGGTTCATGGTTGTGATCATCCTTGTAAATCTTGATCATCCATTTATTGATGGGAACCTCAACCGAACAGTATACCCTTCAAAGACAATCTTTCCTACAACATATTGCACTTAATTTCATATGTTTCCACCTTGACAACTTCACATTGAAATTTTTCTTCAGTGCATATTCAAGTAAAGTCTTTTTAAAGTCTTCTCTCGAATTGAATGTCTTTCCAAGATATAAGAAGTCATCTAATGGAAATACGGTTGGAATCTTTCTCCTCAGTTTATCAGAGTCTCCACAATCTTCTTCATTACAATATAGTGTAAGAGAGATATAATCATCACTATCTAAATATTCATCCGTGAAAGCCTCACCGCTCACTTCATCAACACTGACATAAGTCACTCCACCCATTGGAATTTCTTCAACATAATCATCATCCTCACTAAGAGTGTCACCTAAACAAGAATCATCATTATCATCTATTCTACCATCAGAACTATACCCTCCATACGCAACAAAATCATCATCTTCATCACTATTATACCCACCTAAATCCCTTTCAAAGTTCTGCTCACTATGTTCCTCAGCATCGACATTCCTGTCACAAGGTTCCTTCTCAACATTAACATCAACAAAACTGTATCCGAGAATAGATTGTGATCAATGGTGGTCAATAAAGACATCCAATTCACCACATTCACACGACAATTCAATCATACCCCGAATATCACTGTCTCAACAATCTTCTCGCACTATCCTTCTACTTTCCAATGGTTCAGTTGGCAATTTATACCACAATTCCCTAATATTATTTCCTATTTTCTGCAATTGAACATAATCTTGGAACAAAAGCCAAGATAACTTATCCATATCAACCTAAACTCCTTTTTCCCTGAACCCAACTACGTAACTTGTTCGACCATCTGATTCATCAAATTCACCTCCGATGTAGAAATTGATCCAAGTCCAACTGAAACATTAAGTCACTCTTACAAATTCATCAAGTAAATAATCATAAACAACCTAAACAAATATATTATTTACCTCATCTTGTGGCAATTTTGGCTTCTCCTAACAATCGAAAGAGAGAGAGAGAGATCCTAGTTCGCTGAGAAAGAAGCATCGTCGGGTTCGCTGAGATAAAAAAACCAATGAAGAACTGAGATAGAAGAGAGGAGCTTCAAACATGAGAGACGAGTAGTTTCGAACACCACGTCAGAGGAAGAATTTCGAAAGGGGCCAACAACGAGTACGAACATGAGAAGAGAGCAACCGATCAGAGGAGAGAACGCGGCGACATCGACGTCGATATCGACAGCGACAACAATGAAAGTCTTGACTGAGTCAGAGGAATACGATGTCGGGATCGAAGGAGAGAGCAAGAAGGAGCATCGTGCATTTTTTGAAATAAAACCTAGATCTCCAAATCAATTTTAGGGTTTTATGGGCTTTTTAAAAAAATCATTTTTTAAAATGTGACTTGGCACATTACGTGCAACCATGATAAACAATACAATTCTTTTTAATGTGTTTCATCTTCTTGCAAAAGAAACACGTAAAACTTTTATTTTGCTTGTTTTGTATCTTCTTGATAGGACTAACAACGATTTCTTCTTTCTGAGGATATTTTTTTATTCTTATCCTTTCTAAAGACTGCAAGAGGAGCACTATCAAGTTTCTCAAGTTTCAACCATTCTTCTTCTTGCATACAATGTTAAATGAGCTTGTTAAAAGGTCATTTGGCTTGTTGATTATTGTATATGATCCTAAAGGATTCATACTATGTAGGAAGGGACAACAATATCAATTGCACCAATAAGTGATCAGACAACTGTATTTTGAGTGTTTTGAGCTGTGAAACAATATCACACATTTCCATGATATATTCCCGAATATTCCAATTTATTTTATACATTTTGGAAATAAGCTTAATCAAAAGCGAGCTTGTTTCTTGTTTCTCATTTCTTTCAAAACGAGTCGTTACTACTTTCATGAATGATTTTGCATTCTCATCATCATAGATAAAATCTCGAAAAATCTTTGGAATTATACGCTTCATGATCATAAGGCACATGCAATTAGATCGCTCCCAAATTTCATGTGTTTCTTTTTCTGATCATCAGTATTATCCGTTGTATAAAAGGTTAGAGTATCAATGTGCATGGCCAAATCCGGATCCATACAACCGAGAACTATTATGATATTGTATTTTTATGCCTTAAAATTCTTACCTATAAGCATTGAGACTGGATTTGACGAAGTTAAAATATTTGTTATGGTAGCAATAACTGAAACTATATGCGTTTATCCATATTTTATAATATATCAATTAATTTAACACCATACATATATACATTAAAATCGGGTTAATCCCACAAAAAAACTCCAAACTTGTTAAAATATTCCATATAAAACCCTGAACTTGTAAACTCCCACAAAAAACTCTGAATTTAGTAAAAACTTCCACAAAAATTACAAACTTACAATTTTCTTCCATATAAAACCTTTGACTTGTTTGACCAAAAAGTTTGCTGACGTGGCACGATGGATTGCTGACGTGGCACTGACTGAGTTGACACGTCAACGCCACGTCATTATTTTAAAATTTTAAATATAAATTTCTAATTTTTGGTCAAATATACATATATATATATATTTGTATATATATTAAATTGGTAATTTAAAATTTTAAATATACAAATATATATATACCTATATACAAACATACATATATATTTTTATCAAATATAT